TGTACCTGCCGTACCTGCATCTTTCTGGTGATGGGTTGAGTGCTGCAGTCCTTTCAGGAGCAAGTGTGAGCCGGGAAGATTCTGCAGGACACAGTGCGCTGTCGTTGGCTGACGCCAATGGCCTGAAGAAAGTAAGAGAAATCCTCTTCATGTACGTGTAGCAGCAGGAAGGCAATGGGCGAAGACCAAGAAAAGATGTTTTGTTCGTGTGCTTTAAGTGATGCTCGTGGACCAGTGGAACGAGCGCCTCACTGGGAGCGAGAGCAGCTGGCCCAATCCTGCCTGTGACGATGCAGCACGCCAAGCGTATGTTGGATGCCGGCTTCTGTGAGAATGGGTTCTGAGAGCCAGTGACTTTCGCTCAGACGGCCCCATTGGTCAAAGTCCGAACAGCTATGCATCATGTATGCTGATGAAGCGGAAGTTGCCACCCAATTGCTGTAGGTGCGGCGTTTGCAACGGCGATGAGAGCCTAATCGGCGTGACTCAACCGCGCCGCGTGGGGTCCGGAGCGTGTCGGCGCTGTGTGTCACGGAGTCGAACGAAGCTAGACCGCGAGACATTGAGGTTGCAGCGATCTCCGTCTCACAGTCCTTGTCTCAGCAACGATTTCTGGAATCATCCGATGCCAGCATGATGTCTCGGCAGGCGAGTGGGCCAGGAGTTAAACCAGTCAGAAAGGGTTGGGTACCAGGCTCATAATTATGCAGATCACGCGGGCTGTTTGATATTCGGTGCTGCGTTGCAAAGATTTGAAGTTGTTGGCAGGTCAGATATGACAAGAGCTACAGCACAAAGGACATGCGCATCAAGTTCATGACGGATGGAATTCTGCTGCGCGAGGCCTTCCATGTAGCTCCCTCAGCGCAAGGTGGTGCCCAGATTCAGTGACCAGGTGCAGGCGGATTTTCTTTGCCGCAAGTACGCGGCAATCGTCATCGACGAAGCCTGGCCATGGGTAATATGCCCCTTGAGTTCGTTCAGACATGTGTGCGTTCACACAGCCATCCATACATCTATCCAAACATCCATCAGCTGTTCATCACAGGCATCCATCCATCCATCCAATCCATGCATCCATCTTTCCATCCGTTGCCATTTTGGCTCAAGCAACCTGTTTGGCTCAAAACCTCTGCTCCTTGTGGCTATCTGACACCTGACCTACTCGGACAAAATGCTGGTGTATCAGCTGGCAAGAGGATTGGTGTTCGTTTCAGCCGTTTTGAGGGCAGATGCTTCTGCTTCGTCCATCCAGTGGGCCATGAAAGAGCAGTTCTCCAGCAGCGAATGCACTATGAACAACTTGACCCTTTGGCAGGCAAGTATGTGAGTCGTGTGGAGTGAAGGGCTTTAGTTTGACCTTTAGGCTGTGTTTTTGTGGTCAATCAAGGACCGAACACACCGTGCTGGGGCGCATCGGAACAGTAGCCATGGGCCTCGGTTGTGGAGGTGCCAATGGCAATATAAACAAACACTACGTTGTCGAGGGTACGGAACTGATCGAATATACACACGTATTCAATATTGCTGCCGAATGCTCCGATACAGCCCTCTCCAACACAACATGGACGCTGGACCAGTGCGTGGAATCTAGCACAGGTGTGTACGAGAAGGTGAAGTTGGTGACAGCTCCTGGGATGCTCGACGTCCCCTACGATGTGGGCGATGAGAACTGTTCTGGTGCACCTCTCAGTAAATACCTGAGTCCTATGCTCTGCGTTGCCTCGAATGACGTCGACGGATACCTCAGCCGTATGCCCACAAGTTACGGAGAGCAGCGCATCTCGTGCTATTACAGCAACAGCGACTGTACCGGCAGCCAGATGTGCGGGGGCAGT